AGAAGATAGAAATATATATATATATATATATATATATATATATATATATATATACTTATCGGATTATCACAGCATTTTATAGCTAATTCATATCTAGGCTGTTACATTTTAGCCATGATGATTCCAAAAACAAAAACAAAAACAAAGTTGCTTGAATTAAATCCTCTAACATACAGGAGGTTTTCTAAAAATGGTTCAAAATAAGCGTCTCACATAAGAGAGATTCATCAACATTTTTTCCCTGCTAAATGCAACTTTAATTACTTATTTTTTTCATTGCTTAAAATGGCAGTGACAAAAGGTGTACAAAGAGAGCACATGTTGGCCCTGCTTAGTCTTTCAACCCAATTCTGTGACATATTGTCGATGGTCAGATTTTTACCAAGTCTTGGAAACTCGTTAAAAATTTCAGAAAAGCCGTGGTCCTGAGCAAGTTATATGAATCATAGAACAGATGAAAAGAGAGAAAGCATAAAGGAGTGGATCAGAAATGGAAAGCACAAGTCTAACAAAATGGCTCTGGCTGGCTGAAGAACTACTACAGTAGCACTAGGAAAAGTGATATGAGAAATGAACCTTTTTGCAGTTCATACTTCATATGCACCATGTCACGTCTCTATCAAAACTCTAAGGATCACTTTCTTTGCCACTCAGAACACTCTCATAACACATGCAACCTCTCCTCATTATTTTGATTGCTTCTTCAACAACATATATTTAAGGAAAAGTAAAACACTATAATTAAAACCATCATTAAACCTATCTTTCTCCTTTTTCGGCTACCAAAATCCAACTAAACTTAATGCTAATAAATTGTTTAGTCCCTTTTTGAAACTTTTATATCAATGTTTTTGTTGGTTACAACTCTAACAATTCCTACAAAGTACGTGATTAGATAAGCTATTTATTTACATTCAATTATTTCGGACTATAAGCCAGCCTTGTGTTTAGCGATGGAAAGTACGTAACCACTACTCCAAAATTTTCCAACCCATACCCTCGTTTACGTTTAGTAATTAACATTATTATTCCTTAAATACACATAGGTATGTAACTAGCCTTTTAGACAAAAATGGACAATGTTAATCATTCATTACTTTTGTACAACAAAATTTAAGAATTTACTCAATCAAGACTCAAGAGTGAGATAGAAAGAGAGGGTTAGTAATAGATTAAACAAAAAAAAGGTAATAGAGAGGTGAAAAAATTATTAAAAAAAAATACTATAAAAAATCATTATCCATGTATGATTACTCAATCGGAATCTCCATATACGTTTGAAACCTGTGAACCCGTTTAAGCCTTTTTAGTTTGTTAATGAGCTCAAGAATAAAAAGAAGTGCACGCAGCAGGAGGGAATATAATTAGACATCAAATGCACCTTTATCAGTAAAATCATTAATCATGTGAAGAGAGTCAGAAATTGAGGAGTGGAGGCTCTGGAATTCTATCAATAATTAACTAGAACTTTCTTTCTTTCTTTTTTCTTTGTACAAATTCTTTTTCATCACTGTAGCAATCAGTATACATCAAAATTCTCATTTCCTCAAAAAAAAAAAAAGTTAGTACCCTAATGATTATCTTGACGATCTTTTCAGCTTCATTCAGTCATGATGAATATTCTCCAAAAACAATTAAAGAATGATTAATTAAATAAAAAATGGTCTCGTTCCGGCTCCTGCACAAGAAAGAAAGGTTTGATCATGAGTATGCGTGCGGCGTGCGTATCACTAGTAATTTATAGAAACATTAATAAGAAAAGAATAAATAATGTAGTACCTAATGATTTTGCCAATGAAGGTACGGTGTTATGAGACATTGTAAAGTTGAGTGTTTGTTAATTGGCTATCAAATAATGCACACTTTCACAGTAGCGTGAGTTCTAACGAGATGATGATGAGGAACTGTGTACTGATCATATGTTTGGCAAGGCATGAGATGAAACTGTGTAGCAAAATTACATATTAGCACCTCACAAAGATAAAGTAAAGTGAATATTAGACAAAAGAGGTTGAGACCAAAAGCAGAACCAAGAGAAGAAAAGAAAAGCATGAAAGAGAAAGAAGAAAAGAAAAAAACTAAACTAACCTTTTTCGGTATGTGGGAAATGGCTTGTCTCTATCAGTTTCCATGGATAAAATTCTTCAAACTGAGGTGTTGACCAGGTGCTGAACAGTAATAGGTGCATGCATATAATATAAGATTTCGTATTTAGAGGGGGGAAAATAATTGTATGACAATAAGAAAGCAAAAAAAAGGACACTAAAGCAGAAGGGATTGAGAAATAGACTAATCAGACTATGCAGTGAACATATTCTGAATATTTTGGCTAACGGATTGATGAAATCAGTTTGTTTATCTAGAAAAGAAAGGTACAACTAGTGGCATGGAACATATCAGTATATATTATGCTCAGATATAATATAACTCAGTTAAACCTTCTGAACCTTATATTACTTATGGTCTAGCCAATAATAAAATAAGAAAAAGGTCCATGTGCAATAGCATGAACTTTAAAAAATAATATCATTTCTAAGTTTTTCATACAAGCAAGAATCTTGTATTTTTGGAATTGTGAGTATATGCATAAGGGATAGAGAATGTACCTGAAATCCTATAGCTAGTCCTCCTTCCATTAGAAAAAACTTAGTTCAGTATATCCGTGGGAATATGGCAAGAGTTCCTCCACCTCGATTCTGTTTCGAGAACAGCTCATACTTTTCTTCAATCTTCCATGACTTGACTCAACCTCAGCCCAAAATATGCCATAAACCGGCCTGTGGTCTGAGAACCTTGATTCTCCGCGGACGTAAGATAATTGATGGAGACCTTCTCCATGCCACAATATCCGGTCACACCTGTACAAAGAAAAACATTTATATTGACATAAGTTGTTTGCAACAATTCAGAAAAATTATATTCTAATTGTCTCATTTAGTATTCATATGGTGCTGGGGTGTTTCTGCTAAATTTCTATGCTTTGGTTTTGAATGAAGATGATCTTACCAAGCAGGTGTTCTCCTTTTCTCCTTTGGATGCATATCATCTCCTGCATACCTATCTGAATTAGTTGAATACTTGTAAGTTGGAGGGAAATAAATCTTCCCTTCATTCCATCCCACAAATGCACGACCTCTCTTCTGCTCTATTCTCAACTGCCAGGAATACCAATATAGATATTAACATTTATTGTTTTTGTGAGTATATACATGAAAAGGAAAGAGATATATGTTGTATATTTTACGATATTTCGAAAGGTTAATTTGTTTTTATTTGTGTTCTTAGCAGACATAGACAATAATATAGGCCTACCTGGTCATTCTCTAACAATGCTCTCCAGTTTTGCATCTCAACAAGTGCCTTAGCAGAACGGTAAGAGAGCGCAATCCGATAATTCAAGTCTCCAAGCCATATAATTCGACTAAAAAAATGAATCCAAAATCAGAACATGTAAATGCTAGAAGGGCCTCAAATTACATAAACTGATAAACATGTTAAAAATGTTATTAATACTAAGTTGTGTGCGAGTAAATTCTTACTCGTGCTCGAGGATTGTCTCCGGAGACTTCTCGTCGTCAGCACCATGTACACGTGGAAACCTTGTCTTTTTAAGAATTTCCATCACATCAGAATTTCTTCTTAGTTCATCACCCTCTTTCTGTCCTGAGGTTAAGTGGCTGCAAATGAAGCAAAAGCTTGTTTCATGTAGAGACATGCTAATTGAGATGGATCCCTGAAAATACATGCAGAATATCTCTCTCAGGTAAACCATTGATCAGCAATTTTGGTATGAACACATCAAATTAAAAATGAAAATAAGGAAAATGATGAGTGATTTAAAATGTACCTTATTTCCAAGATAACCCATCAATCCTCTGCCAACACATGATACTTTCATGTTTCGAACATGATCCTTCAATTCACTTCTCACCCATATGGTGAGAAATATTCCTACCATTTGCTTACTTGCAACGAGGCAGTACCTGGAACGCCCTGGCATGGTGTATCCATCTTCAGCAAAGGTAGGTCCAGCATAAGACAGTGGTGAAAACAATACTGTGCTTGGTGAATCTCCAAGGCCATTGTCATCATCAGATGAACCCCATCTGGAATAGTCACTTGGCCTAGAGTAGTCACTTGCCCTGGAATAGTCACTAGGCCTATAACCCCATCTAAAACTGGGATCAAAGTCACTTTTCCTGGGACCAGAAATCAGACGATCACAAACACTGAATCTTCGATCCAATCGTGGCTGCATAGTTGAAGGATCATTGTCCATTCCCCAGCCGCTGGAAGTCGTCTGGAATGATCGGCGATGGAAGAATGACGAATTCTTTTGCCTAGCTGATCCCTCAAAATCTGCATTTAGTTCTACCACCGGTTGAGGAATGGGAGATGGTGTATAATACCCTCCTCCTCCACTAGTACCAGGAAGATTGTTTAAAGTCTTTCCAATGAGAGCAAGCCATTTTTTGGCAGGGCCATTGTCTTCTGCTCCTAAGATATTACCAGCATTCAAGGGTACTATCTCTTGAAATCTGAAACACAAATGTGTCACTAGTAACCACTAGTACTAAATTTGCTTGGAAGAGAAAAGATATTAACAAGTACCAAATCTTACCCAAGAACATAAATATCAGCAGGTGGTGAAGCATGAAGCCAATCATCTATACTCAAATTACTTGGTGGGGATCTTCCAGCCACATTCCATGTAGCAACAAAAACACTGCTCATAAAGAAAAGAGAAGCACTCGTGAGTAATTAATCGAACAACACATCAAAGCAAGATTTCTTTTTTTCCTGGTGAAAAAGTAGTATCACATACCTATAGTTATGGACATCAATAATTCTAGGATGGTCAAGACTCACTCTCCCTCGCCTGACCTGCTCCGTGTTTCTGCTAAACTTCTCTGCACATTACAATGAGGGGTTGTAAACATTGTGTATAAACGTTAGGCTAAGCAACAACAAAAATTGTTTTCTAAATTGGGTGATGCTTCAAAGAATGGATTGGGGTAATTCGTAATCGTGTACCTGTTTTGCTCTTTTTGATTGTGCAAGGCTCTCTTTCAGAGAAGCTGTTCCTGCTTCTGTATTCTACGTCACCTCCTGGAAAAGGAAACAAGTTTCAATGCATCAAAATGTAATTCACAAGTGTGGCAACAACAAGAGGTTAAAAAGGCTCAGGGGAAGAAAAATGGGAATGCCATGAGCGTATTGGTGAAAGCAGCCAGAACTTAACAAATGACGCAAGGCTTCAATGTTTTTTTTTTCTCTTTTCTAAATGGTGTTATTTTTATACATCCCTTAGTTTTTCCACCACCCAGCTAAAACCAAAGAACTATACAATGCTTTTGGATAAAAGCATGTGCCCAATTTTTGAGGAGAACAAAACAAAGACACCCACCTCCATAAGCAACACCATTTGATTGGTAGGAGTCCTCAGCTTTGCTTTTGATATTGAAGAGCTTTCTGACCATTCTCTTCGACCATGAGAGCTTCACAAGGCCCAAAAACACAAAACAATCAACAAGTTGCCAAAAATTGGAAGATGCAAATGACAGCACAATCAAAATGTTGGATTTCATTTCCCATGAGATCACAAAAAGGAAATGAAAGAAGAAGAAAAAAAATCATCTTTGAGCAGCAGAGTTGAGTCAAGAGGGTGAAAAACCTTGCTTTTCTTGGAATTCCCATCTGTCATTGTTAATCTTCTACCTCATACAGCTCCTCGAGTATTCTATGTTGTACTCCAAGAGCTACCCAAAATTCTCTTGTTGTGAAACCCCTTTCTCTGATTTCCTTTTCTCTTTCTTTGAGAACAATACCAAGCTCTCATCTGGTGCTCAGCTTCTGAAGTTGAGAGCAACAGAATAGATGAAGAATGTGTAGTTCTATTTCCCTCTTGAGTCTTGAGTCTTGCCTCTTAAAAAATGTAAATATGCAAGCAACAAGAAAGAGAGGCAAGGCCTTTAAGTCTTTAATGCGTGGAAGTGAGATGAGATTCTGAAGTGGAACAAGACAATGCGACAGGCAAAGAAAAAGAGAGAGAGAGTCAAGCTGTGTTTCTCTCTCTTGGAAACATAGTGCCTCGTTCTCTGCAACCAACAACAGCAAAGTATCGAATTTGAACAGAATAAAGCACAGTGTGAGTGTGTAGAGAGAAGAGCTTTATTGGTATTCAATTAAAAATAAATAAATGGTAACCTCAGTTGAGGACAAAGGAAACATGAAGGGGGCAACGGGCAGGTAACGTTTTTGAACATAAAACGTTGCGGTCAGATGAACAAAGGCTGCCCCTAGTCAGCAAAGTGAGTGAGATCTAGCAGTATCTTATAGCTGTAATCTTTCTCCCCGTTTTGGTCTTCCAACCAAAGCAAAAGCAGTTGAATGAAGAAAAAAATGAAAGGGTGCTTGTGCTTGTGCTTCTTCTTTTCAATCTATCTATTTATTTGAACTACATTATCTATGTGTCTATATTTATTTTGTTTCGTCTTATGTTGGACAAGGAATGTTTGTAATACAAGTATACTTGTGTTGTTGTATTATGAGACCCCCACCTTACAGAGCTCTAAAACAAAACAAAAATAAAAATTGCAGTGTCCTGTTTTGGGAATGTGAATGAATCCCTACAAAAACTGATTTTTGTCTCTCTCATATTTCCAATCTCACGACTTTATAATATATGGAGCATTGTGATGTTTGCTTCCATAGATTGGTGATAGATATTATTAGATAGGTATGGTGATGGTGCATGCCATGCCACGGACTGTGGGGGATTATGTGTGCTAAATGCCAATCAAACTACAAGGCCTTTTGCCACTAACCTATTTACCTAGTCTCACTGTCTTTGAAAATAAGGGCAACTGACCCAAATTTGTGGTCTTGGGACTTAACTCTTAGAAGCTATCACCACCTTTGTGGAGTTGCTGAATACCCTAACAATATAATTGTACGGGCTCACTGTTTTGTATCGGTAAAATCTCGTCACAAAATTCAACATATATGGTAAACTTGTTAACGTCACAAAATTCAACATATATGGTAAATTTGTTAACCCTAAAAAAAACATCACTATTTAAATATTTTCCGCTTTAATATTCATTATACTTTTAGAGTTAAGAGAAAAATATGATTAATAAATTACTTTTGAATTCAACTCGTAAACAATATGAGACTTTATTAATATGTTTTGGTGATAAGTTCGTTAATACTATTAAAGCTATGTATTTAAAGTATTGTCTATTTTAATATTTTTTGAGTAATCATAATTTTATGAGTCCTAGTCAAAACAATAAATATAAATCCTTATATATTTTTGTTGATAATCATATTATTTGTATAAAATATTTATGAGTCTTACTATTATTACATAACGTGATTGGTTATCCTGATACTTTAAGAAAATTTATATTAGTAGTACCTAAATTAATATGACTTGTTGATATGAGTCCTTATATATAAATGTTTTAAAATATAAATATTTATAATATAAATTATATGCATTATTTAATTAAAAATGTCATGTTATTATATTTAATAAATAACATAATGTTATAAAAAGAATCTAAAAAAGATGTACTATATTTTTCATTCAATTTACATCTATATCATCATTTATTATAAGGTGATATACAAATAATTTTTAGAAACAAAAGTAATGCATCTCCAAATTAAAAGAATCAAAATAGGACAAAATTTTAAAAGATTATACCCAAACTTAAAAAATTATATAGAGACCAAAAACATATTTTATTTTTTTTATAAATATAATACATAAAAAAAACTAATAATAAAAATAATTTATAATCATATCACAATTATATATATATATATAACTTTATAGCTAAAATATATTTTTAGCTTCTTTAAAATAAGAAAAAATTTATTTTGATCCCTAAAAAATATTATATATATATAAATCCTAAAAATTTGAAATTATATTTTTAATTCATATTATTATGTGATTACTTTTTACTTTCTGTGTATTTATTATAAGTCAAAATCTTAGATGGTATTATAATAATGTGTAATATATATCAACATGTCACATCGTTAAAAAAATTATAATTTTTAAAATATAAAAATAAAAAACAATCTTTACTTAGAATGATAAGAAATAAAAATAATAATAAAAAGACCAAAATTAAAATATCATCATTTTATTTTATTTTTAAAAGTAATATAAAAATTATCTCATAATTATATATATATATTAAAAATTTAAAGCCTCTTTCAATTATGGACTTTGAATAATTACACCTCTAAATCACACTTAAAACTGACCCCAAAAGTAATAAAATTTATAAATTGTGATTAATCTCAACTCCTAAATGACATGACACGTTTTGGACGTACATGAATTATGAGGTTTAGTGTCGATAATTAATGCATTAAGAGGGAGGCTCCATTGAATGAATTGAAGAAAGAAAAAGAATATATACAAACATTTTTTGAGTTTCTTCTTTACAGTCTCAGGCGCCGCCCAAGTTGTTTGCTTTTGAATTCCTCGACCGTTCAACAGTCCATGCATCTCCAATACCAATCAACTATGCCAAATCTAAATTAACTTTTAAATCCCCCATTCACCACATCAACATGGGTTTTGTCTAATCCTCATTCATCATTGTTGGACCTCAACTACCTTATTATCAAAACAGTGGATGACTAAATATATTTAGCTGACGGCGCAATACTGCTATTTGTGCCATATTATCAATATTGTTAATGTTATTATTATTATTAAAATAAACGGAAAAAAAAAGGATTGCATCTTTCAATTCCACCGTCCAAAAGAATATTACATCTTCATAAGCCTCCACTAAGCACTGTCTTCAATCTTGATTGCTAGGAAGGTCACAGACTCACAGGGCACATAGGGCTATTTTACTTGACACCTTTGGCCAAAAGCCACTAGCAGAGGCCTTAATAATATGACAAAATTAATAAGAGTCAAAGGCTTAACGAGTTTAGCCTTAATAATTTAGTTTCCATTTCCAAAATTCAGACTTTCAAGAACTGATGCAAGAACAGTGATAGTCTGGTGGGATTAGTACAAAAAAAATGGGTCCAAGTCCAATCAAATCAAAAGCGAAGAAATAAATGCAAAAAAAAAAAAAAAAAAAAAAAAAAAAAAAAAAAAAAAAAAAAAAAAAAACACTAGTTGATTGAAGCAAGTAGGATCAAGGCACAAAACAGGAGGCCAATTGGAACCTATTTTTCGCCATGTGAATTTTTCAAAGACACGAGTAATGAGTGGACTTCCATAGTGATCAAATCAAGTTATCTAATCAGCATACATAATATTCTCTTTATGCAAAAATGTTGCATAAATTATTAAATTGTATAAAATCATTTATAAATTAATGTGTGGATAATATAATACATGTATTTATGTGACTAACATGACTCTATTCTTACCTTGACGGAATAGTGTAGGTGATCATGTGATCCACTTTTCCTTTTTGAAGGAATTTAAGAGTGTGGTTGTGTTTATGCATCGTTAAATGTGGCTCTTTGGAATGATTTGAGGCAGCAAGGAAGAAAAAGTGTGGGCATTAATTTGAATAGTCCAATTTAACTAGTAAAGGGAAGCAAAGACTAAAGAGATTTGGGCCACATCACATAGGGTAATGGCATATATCTAAAGCAAAAAAGAAGTGGTCCCATAAGATACAAGTCTTCTTCAACTATTTCTCTTCCATCTTTGAGTATTTGACAACCTAGCTACAAGATACAGCATCTTCTTCAGTGGGGTGGTATCTAACCCTGAATCAACGTTTTTGGATTCAATATGGATATCATGAAAAAGGCCAATTTCAGTCATGCATCATTCAGAGGAAGAAAGATATTTTCTATCTCATTAATTTTATGTGATTTTACTTTTTTTTTGGGTTGACAATTAAATGAAAAAAATCTCTTTTAAAGTATTTAGGCTTAATTGCAGTTTTGATCCCTCAAGTATTGCAATTGTGCAATTTTAATCCCTAAGGTTTTAATCGAGTAATTTTAGTCCTTAAAGAATTGCAATTGTACAATTTTAGTCCTTTAATTTTTAATTGAATAATTTTAATCCCTCAAATATTATAATTATGGGATTTTAGTCTCTCTCAATAAAAATTTAATAATTTTAATATATATATATATATATATATACACATATATATATACAATATTTTAAAATTATACAATTATTTATCTATTCAAGTTAACATATATTGTAATTTTCATTAATGTATCAAATGATATATATTTATTATTACTAAATAAATAAAATTTATATATTATTATTTTTATAATATTACTAATAAATTAATATCAATAATATTATTAGTATATTTATAGATAAACTAATAATTTGATAAATATAACTTATTATATATTACTATAGTTTTACAAAAATATAAGTATATTAATTAGAAATATACATATCTTATCTAATATATTTATATTTTTGTAAAAGTATATTAATATATACTAAGTTATATTTATCAAATTATTAGTTTATCTATAAATATACTAAAAATATTATTGATATTAATTTATTAGCAGTATTAAAATATTAATAATATATAAATTTTATTTATTTAGTAATAATAAATATATATTATTTGCTACATTAACAAAAAATTATAATATGCGTTAACTTAAATAAGCAAATAATTGTATAAATTTAAAATATTATATATATATATTAAAATTTTAAAATTATTAAATTTTTAATAAGAAAGATTAAAATCGCACAATTATGATATTTGAGTTGAGGGACTAAAATTGTTCAATTAAAAATTGAAAAACTAAAATTGCATAATTTTAATCCTTTAAAGACTAAAATTGCCTAATTAAAACCTTAAGAACTAAAATTGCACAATTACAAGGATCAAAACTGCAATTAAGCGAAGTATTTAATGCTCCACCATCTAATCAAAATGGCATGGGTTAAAAGAATTAGATTAAAGTTAAGATTGACATATTTGAAACAGAAAAATTATAATAAGTGTCCAAGTCATATAAGAGTAGGAGAATAGTATTATTTCTTTTGTGTGAATTATTAGAATTTGTGTCTAGTCTTATGTCCAAAAGTGAGGAAAAATGTGTTAGAAGACTGCGCAGTTTGCATGTGTTTGATTTTGCAGTATTGACATTGACATGTTTTATTAAAAAAATGTTTTGACACTTATTCATAATTTTCTTGTAAGTTGTCATTTGTATTACCTCATGCCTAGCTATATCTATATTTTTAATCGTGTTCTTTTGTTTTGTTTAACCCTGAATTCTTCTTCTTCTTCTTTATTTTGTATTTTTCCTTTGAAGTTATTTTGTCCATTTTTTATTTTAGATTTAAGTCTTCTCTTAGATATATAGGATTTCTAATTATTATCATACGTGGGTCCTTGTTCAAATGGAAAAGGTGGATATGTTA